ACCCTCAACTCAGGAGACCCCAGAGGCTCCAAAATGAGCCACAACCCGTGTCACATGAATAACACAAAAAGGTGGAGGGTATTGGGTAGGGGGCGGTGTAATGCCTGAGAGGGAAGGGGGCTGTGATTTGCCTTAGATAAAGAAATTGTGATATCTGGGCAGGGAGGAACAAGGACCCCAAAGTGTGGCTCCAGCTCATCACGAGGACTATGGGAAAAGGCCGGGTGAGGTCAGGACAGCCATTTATCTCAAGGGGAAAGGGACACACAGTCCCTAGTCCCAATGGTACTCCGGGCAGGACCCAGTGACTGCCCGACGGATGAGGCAGAGAAGATCTGCATTGCTCTGCAAGGCTGCCAAGGTCTCCCGGTCAGTAACGTGCTGTCCAAATCCATGGACTTCAAAACACAATGACAAGTGAGCTTCTAGAGCGAGGGCGTCCCTGGGGAGGATGGGCTTGGTTTCTCATTGTCCTGAAACCTTCTCCAAGCGGATGAAGGAATTATAAATAGCATGATTAGGGATGGATTTTTCTCCATGAATTCTCCCAAGGACCATCCCCTGCAGATCAATTGCTGTTCAGTGGCCTAAACCTAGACAGCAGGCTACTGGTTCCAGAGCCCAGAGGGTCCTTGTTTCACAAGAAGCCCCTCCACAGCCCCTGTGGGTTCAGAGGTAACGGAAGTGCCCGAGACCCTTTGCCAAGGAAGGAGGGGAGGGAAGATGCTAATTCAAACAGAAACTCTCCTCATTCAAAGGGTGGGAGAGGCGGAATTCTTGTCTGTACAGATAAGCCTCTCACTGGTACAGAGGCCATCACGAAGAGAAGGAAAGCTGGGCTCTGAAGTGTGGCCACAGTTGTGCCCTGCCCTGGCACGGGTTGACCCCAAAGGACAGTGGGAGGTAGAGAGTGCTCAGTTATTAGACAATCCAGAGCCAGCAGGAAAAGGAGGAAATTGAGATCTCTCTCTCTCTCTCTCTCTCTCTCTCTCTCTCTCCCTCTCTCTCTCTCTCTCGTGTGTGTGTGTGTGTGTGTGTGTGTGTGTGTGTATCTTTTTCTCTCTGCCTTTCTGTGTCTTTCTCTCTTTGCCTGTATGTTTCTCTGCCTCTCTGTCTGTCTTCTCTGTGTGTGTGTGTGTGTGTGTGTGTGTGTCTTTTTCTCTCTGCCTTTCTCTGTGTCTTTCTCTCTTTGCCTGTGTGTCTCTCTGCCTCTCTGTCTCTGTCATCTGTGTGTGTGTGTGTCTCTTTGCCTCTGTGGGGGGAGGGGCATGTGTGTGCACACCCATTCATGTGCGGGGTACATGTGCAGGAGGATACACATGCATGGATGCACAGCACATAAGTGGAGGTCAGGGGACAAACTCAGGTGTCACTCACTCTTTGTTTGGAATGGTTCTCTCACTGGCCTGGCACTTCACCATATTTGGCAGGCTGACTTGCCTGCAGACTTCTAAGATCTGTCCCTCTCTGCTTTCCTTCTCTTCAGCAGAGTGCTAGGCATGCCACCTCACCCAGCTTCTACATCGATTCGGGACAGCCAAACTTAGTTCCTCACCTTCATGAAACAAATATTTTGCCAGCTGGGAGAACCACCTCCCCAGCCCTTCTTTTTCTGAAGAAAACGCCCAACCTGGCCCTGGAACTCACTATGTGGTTAAGGATAACCTCAAATTCCTGATACCCTGCCTCTGTTTCCCAAGTGCTGAATTATGGGTGTGCATTATTACACACAGTCTTTATGTGGTGCTGGTGCAAGAAAAGGTGGGGGTCTAAAACCAGCTTTGGAGGAGTAGGGAACTCAGAAAGGAGAGAAAGAGAGAGGCGGGACACCTCGACAGCTGCACAGCCCTTCTGGGCATACCCCTTCAGCACCCCTGAGGATGGTCCCTTCTGCAGGTCTGGGACTGGGCCCAGTCTTGAATGAGTGGCACACTAGGGACAGAAGAAGATTTTGAGTGCTGCTCAGTCTAGGAGCGGGGGAGCAGACCGGCCTGACCACACCCCCTGAGGCCCATCCCAGGGGAGTTTCCATGTGGAAGACCCTCACTTCCAATACATTTGGAATAAGGGTCAAACCATTTTAAAAATATGGCACCTAGGGTCTTTGGCACTGGAGTGTACTCCAGGGGAGAGAGACATTTGGATCAGCTCAGAAGGTCAGACACAGGGATATAGAGACCTAAATCTGGGCCCCACTGAGTATGTTGGAGCCTTGGTGGCACCAGACAGTGGCCCTTCAGGGTGTCACACAACCTCCAGGGTCACCAAGCTGCAGATGGACCACTCACCTTCAGGATGCCCCCCCTCCCACAGACATCTTAAGTAGCTTCAAGTCCTCTCCTACTTGATCAAAGGAATACCCACACACACACAAGCTGAGGCATACCCCCAGAATCCTTGGCCTTGAGAACCCGAGTTGAGCTCATACTCATGGACCATGCCTGGCAGCCATGATGGAGCAAGGCATGATGGGTACTGTGAAGAGGCAGCCCTGGAGTGGGAAGAGGGAAGACCCATATGTGGATCCACCGTCAAATATGGCAGGGGACTTCCTTGCTCATACGCTGCTAGGAGCCCAGAGAAGGTATCTGTCTCCCTGAGGTCACACAGCAATAACCTCTGGGTTTGAGGGCCAGTCACAAAGATGGGTGTTGGAATCAGATTCAGCCTAGAAGGCCCAGGCAGCCGATTTCAGGAAATATTGCCAGAGAGGGAGACGTGCAGCTCTGGGCACGTGAGAATAGGTGGGTGCCTGGAAACGGACGTGCGGTTAGAATGTCCCCAGCCCTTTATTTCCCTGCTATTAAATACTTAGTGGAGGATTGTATTTGTCATCCCAGGGTGCGGTTTGGAGTACACCTGCTGTGAATATGAGCTCAATGGAGCCAGTCCTATCACCACCCTTCTGGGCTCCTGGCCGCCTGTCGTTATGGCCTAGAAGGTTCTTCGCTGCTGCTACGCTGATGCCCCCTCACCCAAACAGAATGGAACCTAAGGCGATGTGGGGTTGGGGGTCTGTGTTGTTCTGGGTTTATGCGCTCTCTCCTCCACCTTAGGAGATCTCCTCAGTTCCCAGCTCAGGGCCTAGCTGGCAGGGGAACAGCCACGGCCTGTGCTGTGTGTGGTCTCCTGATAGAACTCAGAGGAGAAGACAGAGAGTCTGACGCCTGAAGGCAAGAGGACTCAGAAGCCAGCAGGTAACCTGTTGCTATGTGCATCGCTTTGGGTTGTGATGAAAGTGTTCATAAGGGTCTATTTGCAGCAGCAGTCTGGGGTCTAGCAGGTGACACACAACAATGACATTGGACTCAGGCTGCCTGTTCAGGAACAGTCTCTAGCCCGGGAAATTAATATCCTCTGCCAGCACCCCACTGATGTCCTCAGCAGGGCATGGTTGGAGTTGGGAGGGGGGCTTGGCCTTTGACTTTGAGATCTCCCTTGGCTGCACCCACAGAAGCAGAAGGGACTGGACTTGGGTAGAACTGGGGGACGTTGGTCAAGACATGGAGGCTGGGTTTGGAACCCCGGTTCTGTCTAGACCCAGTACAGAATAATGGGGTGAATCTAGGACATGAGGGATATCAGATATCAGGACCCCAAACTATCTCATAGGTCAAGGCACAAGGAGTGTCCTTCTATACAAGCTACCCAAGGAGCATGCTGTATTTGCACCCGGGCCAGGAGGAAAAGAAAATACAGAACCCATTCCAGCATGGGACACACCTCATGGAAATGTCCCTGACAAGCAGTTCTGAGTTGGGCTTTGTGTTCAAGACTGAGCAGTGTGCCCTTTGCCATCTTTTCCCAACACCTGGGGTGTAGGGCCTATGGGGCAAACCCTGCTCCAGGGGTTCATCTTGAGGACAGTTTCTGGTCAGCCAACAAAAACATTCTGTTTGTTCCTGTGCTCCCTCTGCCCCACCTGGTGATTAGTTATAGGGCATTGCCACTCCATCTTGGGTGTGGCGATGTCCCACCTGCCTAGGGAAATTCCTTGTGCAGTAGCTAGGTGTAGAATTTCCCCAAGGTTGAATAACTGATCTCCTTTCGAATGACCCAGGTCTTGTGTACGTTCTTTCAATCTCTAGGCCCTCGCCCGGCTCACGTAGGCTCACGTACTGTACCGAGAGGGTAACGCAGACACAGGTGTTACACTTGCCCGGTTCACGTACTGCACCGAGAGGGTAACGCAGACGCAGGTGTTACACTTGCCCGGCTCACGTACTGTACTGAGAGGGTAACGCAGATGCAGGTGTTACACTGGAGCTACTGTGTGACCACCATGGACTAGGAGGAAGAGCTGTCCCTTCTATACTGGCCATTCTGGAGGTTCCTTCTCAGAGTCTGCCCCCTCATCAGGGTCACACCATTGCAGACCAAGTTCAGATAACTGGGGCCTGAGAGGAACAGCAGGTGCCCACTGACTTCCTTCCTTGCAGACACGGGGTCTCTCGGGTACCCAGCATGAGGATCTTCTCACTAGGCACTGCTCTCCATGACTGGGCAGCACCAGCAGGCACTCGTGTCTAGCCCCGGCGGCATTCTCCACATCCTTTCCACTGGTTGTGCCTAGAGCCCCTCAGCTAATTACCTGCCATGCCTCAGCTCATGTAGGAGCCCTCACTCCATGCTGCAGAAGGCCAGATGCTAGGGGGGCTGGCCTCAAGTCGATGGAACCTGGGGCCCCAGTCACCTTCCCGGATGAGAAGCCGACATGGAGGCCTGGCTGGGACATTGAGGGAGAAAAACTGGCTTTCCATTGCCAGCAAATCTCTGTATCACCCCAAAAAGTAAAAGGCAGGTCAGCAGGCCACAGGGCTGGACTGGAGGTACCTTAGAAGGAAGCTGCCTCATGGCTGTGGGGAGCAGGGAGGAAGCATCAACTAGCAGAGAGGTAAACAGAAGGAGCCAGCATCTGTCTCTAGGGTCCCAGCTGTGCTGCCCGCTGAGGCTCCCACCCACAGGACCCTCCACTGCGGCTGGGTCTGGAGGCCAATGTCATAGATAGCACAGCAGCTTTATTGACCAGACTTATCAGCAAGAACACAGCAGTGGGACCTGTACAGTCCAGCCCCAGCTGGGGTCCAGCTGCCTACAGCCAAGTTTGGGGACCTCCTATCTCCTCGAGTGCCCCCCAGAACCTAGCCTTACCCCTAACTCCAGGCCCTGGCTGAAGCAAAGGCCTGCAGGGTATGGGAAGACAGTCACATAGAGGTTGGAAGGCAGGTAGACCTGGAGCGGGGCAGCATGGGGCTCGTGCTGCCCCAGCAGCCGTTGGAAGTCATCCGTGCAGGGCAGTGGGGGCGTGCAGGAAGACAGGCAGACAGCCAGGCTCACCACACAGAGCATTTGTGGACAGGGTTCATGGGAGAGTCCTTGGGACAGTGGAAGGCCCGGCCGAACTCCTCAAACTGGGACACACTGCCCAGGACCCTGGGATGGGGGGGAAGAGACCCCAGCAGTGTGAGCTTCGCCAGCTACCCCGGGGCTTTTTCTGGGTTGACCCATGTCCCTTCTTGTCCCTCTGCCCCCATGCAGACACAAGGAGGGGACTGGCTGCCCAGAAAGGCAGGCGGGCGGGCATACCGGTAGTGCTCAGGTGCGTGCTTGTCTGTCAGCACCTGCAGGTAGATGGACTGCGACCGCCGCTTGATGCACCAGTTCTGGGACCCAGCCGGCCAAGGGAAGGAGAGGAAGAAATGGAACCAGGTGCCTACTGCTTATTCCCTCCCCTTCCCGCCACTTAGGCCCCAGCAGAAGCCAGGGGCCATCATCTCTAAGGACAGACAGGTGACGGGAATCTCTAAGAGAACAGACAGGCTGGACCCTGGGAATGGCCATTTGAGGCCAGTGCATTTGAGACTGAACCGGGACACCGCATTCCCTGCCCAGCCCCTGCCCAGCCCCTGCCCAGCCCCTGCCCAGCCCCTGCCCAGCCCCTGTCAAGCTAGCCATCCAGCCCACCTGGGCAAAGGCAATGAAGAAAAGCTGGTTGTGTGTGTACTTGAGCCGGTGCAGCGGATGCTCAGGGCCGTGCTCCCGAACCCACTTCTGATAGGCCTGGCGGTGCAGAGAGCCGGGAGCTGCTGTGAGCGTTCACACTGCATGCTGTTCCTTCTCCATCCTCCCCCACCAGAAGACCAGCCCCTCCCCCCCAGACCCAGCTCTCTACCGCCCATTCTGTCGTACTCCCGGCCTGTCTACCTTCCTGCTTTGGCATATCCATCCCAGAATAGTGCCACCCCCTCCAGGCAGTCCTCTCCGCTCTCCCAAGGAAGGTGGCACCTGCTCTGGTTTGTTTTCCCCCCAAAGACCCCGGTCTAGGCAAGAGCATCAGCAGGATGAAGAGGGAGAGACTGCGTCCCTCGTCTGGAGTTCTCCTCCACATCCACCTGTTCCCCAGCAGAGACAGAGAGTAGGCTGGTGGCTCACATAGTAGGCCAGCTTCAGGCCTCCCATGTCTGCGATGTTCTCACCAAGTGTGTGCTTCCCATTCACCTGAAGGAAGGAGAAGGAGCCACATGGGGCCTGCTGGCCTCCCACAGATCTGGCTACCCTGAGCTAGCTCCTGCCCCTCCCCCTTTCCCAGGGAATTCAGGAACCGCTTTTTTCTCCCCTCGCCCCTACACATGTACCATGCAAGTCTTCTTCGTGAAGTATGTGGCTGTTCATGTACATGGGAATCCAGAGCATGTGTGCAGGGACCTTATCTGGGTACATGTAAATGTGCGTGAGCGTGCCTGCTTCCAGTCTGCGGCCAGCCAAAGGGGCACTGACGGCAAAGGTGGCAAGGTCTCACCCGCTGGTTGTAGACGGTAAAGTTGTCATAGAGACGAACAATGCACTCGGCCTTGCGCAGAAAGCGGCTGTAGGAAGCCTCTGTCCACCAGTGCAACAGGTTTCCTGAGCGGTCATACTGGCCCCCTGTGGGCAACAGACGGATATGCCAGCATACCAAGAGTGAGCCTCACTCTAGGGCCAGGCTGGGCACGTAGTTCATCCCTTATGGCTCTCCCACTCTCTGTCCTCCCCTCCCCCAAGATGCTCTCAGGTCTTACCCCAGTCATCGTAACCATGGGTCAGTTCATGTCCAATGATGGTGCCAATGCCCCCGTAGTTCAGAGACCTGGACGCACAGCGGCAGGTTAGGCCCTAGCCCTCACCTGCCCTCTGAGAGCCCCACACTGCTGCTCAGGCCCCTATTGTTCCTGACAGGTGGCCAGGGAAGCCTAAGTGGTCTAAGCATCTCCAAGGTCCTGGGTATGTGTCCCGTAGCTTCCTCACAGGCTCCATGAAAGGTACCAGTGACTACATGTCTACCCGCGTTCTGGGCAATAACATCTTACAAAGTTGGTGGAGGCTGTGAGTTAAAAGAAGCAGGAAGGAAGCTCAGGAATTCACTTGAGGGCTAGGCCTCCTTTCTCATCTCTAAGTTCCCTCGCTTTCTGAGCCTAAAACGGGTAGAGATATGCTAGTGAGCTTTGGCTGTGAGCTTGGCATAGCCTAGAGTCATCTGAGCTGGCCTCAGTGGGGGATTGTCCGACTCGCATTGGCCGGTAGCCATGTCTTTGAGAGACTGTCTTGATTGATGATGGATGTGGGAGAGCCCAGTCAGTCCACTGTGGCCAGCACCATCCCTAGGCAGGGGGTCTGGGATGTCTGAGGAGATAAGCTGATCGGGAGCCAGAGCAAGCTAGAGAGTGAGGAAGTAACATTCCTCCGTGGGCTCTTCCCTGACTTCCCTCAATACTGAACTGTGACCTGGGAGTGTAAATAATGAACCCTTTCCTCCCCAGGTTACCTCTGGTCAGGGTATTTTATTGCAGCAATAGTTATAGTCAGGAAGCTGTTGCATACAATTTCTTCCAAATAACCACAGGTGACATGAAACGGAACTATGGGAACCCAGGGTCTGTGGCTAAAATCACTCGGTTCTTCCTCCAACATACACACACACACACACACACACACATACCACAACCTGCCACCTGTAGACAGGGCTGGCGGACCCAGTGCACCCTTTAAGTTCCCTACTTACTGTGGGAAGTCGGGGTCATACAGGGTGGGCTGCAGGATGCCAGCTGGGAAAACTGAGAGGAAGGTACGGTTACTGGGAAACACATGCACTTTCAGGCCCACCCCGGGGCGGCGGGCAGGGCGGGACACATCTCCTTACCCATCTGATTCTTGTTGGGTAGATAGTAGGCATTGAGTGCCTGTGGAGGGAGCAGCCACCTGTGCCGGGAGGCCAGAGTCACCGGGAGGGTGCATACCACTTCTCCGGGATCCTCACATCCTAGCATCCTTCAAGGTGGTCCTGGTAGCACAGTTAGCTTCTAACAGAGCATCCTCTGGCCTCCCTCGGGCTAGGCCCTCCCCTTGGTCTCCTCGCCTGTGCTCTACACAGGTCCATGTACTCCGCATGCCAGCACGCCCCGCTTTCCTCACGGCCCTCCTTGACCCCTAGCTCAGGGCCAGGCACTCACGTGGATTTGTCCACCTCCTGTCGAATCTTCTTGACGGACAGCTGGATGCTGAAGCGGATGCTGTTCAGGATGTTCTTGAAGTAGGTCTTCTCGTGGACCTCAAACTGCATGGGGATGGGCAATGCTCAGCCGTGAGCTGGGGAAGGGCCAGGCCATTGCCTGAAGAACCGTGACCCCTCCCGGTCTCGTGGTGGGTTTCCCTGGGGCCTGGGGGCAGCGGAATCCTGCTTACCTCATATTCTTTATCTACGGCCTCAGGTTTCAGCAGGAAGTCCGGGTAGCCGACCATGACCATCATATACTGGAGCTGCAGGTGAGAGGCAAGGGACCCAGGCCTCAGGAGACAGCCTCTCCCAGGCCAAAAATACAAATAAAAATATAAAAAGAGCTTCAGACTAGCCTGGGACTGGGATGAAGGTAGGACCGAGCAGAGCGGACAATTCCATACAATCCCATAAAGGTATCTTTGCCTCTTTCCTCCTCTTATTCCCTGGGCCTGATACTCAGTAGGCACTCAAACAAGTATTTGTGGAACCAACTACTGGGATTCAGACCCTATCTCACCTTGGCCCGAGCGGCTGCCTTGGTCTGGGCGTCCATCCAGTCCAGCTCCTCCAGGCGCTGGCCCAGGATGTACTTGATATCTTCCACCAGCTGCTGCACCTGAGGGTCAGACACCAGGAATGGAGAGTCAACTAGGAAGGTAAAGCTGACCTAACCCCCGCCCCGGGTACCAAAGGTTTCCTATCATCTAATTCTTCAGTATAGGGCACCAAGCTGAACGCTAAGGAGAGACACGGCAAGCAGGTCCCTACACTCAGCGGCGTGAGAGCAAGCTTCCAACCTGAAAGAAGGAACCATCCCAGCACAATTCTGACCAGTTCTAAGATCATGTCTCCTGATCAAGGCTAAGGAGGACCCTCAGGGGAAAGGCAGAGCAAGCCACCTGCAGCTGACTACAGGCAAGCTTCCCAGGGAGGTGCATCCTAGATCCTCAGGGACAGCTAAGCCCTATGCCCAACCTATGCCCTGAGCCACAAAGGGAAGCATGGGGTCTTCCATTGTCCACACCGAGCTCACCACTTGCACCCCCACCCTAGACCCAGGGCAGCCTGACCTTGGCTTTACTGGCAGCTGAGAAGTGCTCATGTACAAAGAGGGCACCGAGAGCCATGCCAAAGTGGCGGTTGGCCTGGCCCAGGCAGACTCGGGCCAACTCCTGGGGCTTGTCACTGCCCTCCATCTCTCTGGCCAGCTCGTGCAGTGCCTCGCGGAATGGTGGGGACAGGTGCTCACTCAGAACCACCACCACACGCCACACGAGGTAGTTGTGTAGGATCCTGGAGGCCAGGTAAAACAGGATTGTCCAGACAGGCATGCAGGAAGGTCACCCCGGCCCTACCTCCCTGTGCTCCCAAGCTAGGATAGGACCCAGTACCCTACCCTGCCCGCTAAAAAGATGAAAGAGGTCAATTTAGATAGGCAGAAATCAACTTTGAAATGTCCCAAGCTCCACCATACATACAGCAGAATATGATCTTGCTAATAACCCTTAAGCCTGACCCTGATGGGCCAGCATCGTTTCCTACTTTCGTATGGGACACCGAGCATTCAGAGATGGTTGCCTAGATGGCCTTCTCTTCCTTCCCTGAATGTGCAGAGACTAGCAGGATTTCCCCCAAAAATCACACACACACACACACACACACACACACACACACACACACACACACACGTGCAGTATGACTTTAGCTACAAATCCCTGAGTGATGTTCAAACTCTCTGCCTCACCATCCTAGGAGGTGAGGGCAGCTCAAGGGAACCCCAGGCTATTCAGTCTCCCACAGCGGAAGAGAGCGTACCAGCTTCCCATCCCAGCCCTCCCACCCACCTCCTGAAGGGTAGCTTCAGCAGAGACAGGGAGGTCACCCAGTGGGCAGCTCTAGGTTGCTGAAGGAGAGGCCCGGAGCCAGGAGTGCAGGGGTGAGGGACTGGCAGCCTCACCTGCGGGGTGTGGAGCGGATGAGCTGGGACACCTGCTGCATGTAGTCTGTGGCCAGCAGCACCACCTCCTCATCCTCAGAGAAGTCCTCCTGGAAGATCTGGTCCAGCAGCCACTTCCACTGCAACTGTGGGGCCAAGGATAGGAAAACAAGGGATAGCAAAAGGGTCAAAGAGAGGCAACAAAGGCACAGTGGGCATGGGGTGGGGGTGACATGGAAGGCCTCAGACATACCTAAGGAAGGTGCCCTGCCATCCCAGCCCTTGCATCACCCCTCCACCAGGTCTGGGGACACTCACATGGGGTGTGATCTTCTGTAGCTGGCCCAGAGTCACTTTGTTGTACATGGAGCTGACATCTCGACGGAGATCATCATATTCCGACACGGAGATCTGGAGTGGAGACCAGACAGACCCGGGGCCTGACCTAGGCTCCCTGCCCAGGTCCCAGTCCCAGGAGCTCCCAGCCCCTCCTGCTCACATTGGCCAGCCTCTGTTCCAGTTGAAGGATCTCTTGAGCCTTCTGCTCCACAGCATCTGCCCCCAATAGTCTGAGAAGTCGTTCCATGAACACCCTGTAAGCTGCCAGGATCTACAGCAGGACAGGAGTACCTCAGTTAGCTGAGGGAGACACCCCTGGGGCTCTTTCATGGAGACCCTTCCTTTCCAGAAGCCCCACCCCATACCCAGGCACCTTTTCACTCTCCTCATCTTGAGCTAGGTACAGGGTTCTTTCTGGCAGTGTGAGCCCATCCTGGTCAATCTGAGGAGGAAAACAGGAACTACAGGTCAGAAGTGAATGGCCAGTTTTCCAGCGTTCCCACCCAACTGTCACAAAAGAGAAGATGATTCAAACATAGATCCTTTGCCACAAGCTGCGGGAGCACAAGAACCAAGCCCTCCCTTCTTCTTTAGAGGCTAGCCGAACCCCATCGCTGTTAGTCCTTAAGATGCCTCTGTGGAACCCACCCTTCACTCCTTCCCCAACAGCCTTCACTTTCTCCACCTGTAGGGACACCATGGGGCGGCGCTGTACTGGGAGTTGGCACCTCTGGAATTCCTGGTCAACCCCAATCTTTCAGGGCGGTAGCCCGCGGTTCCCCACTCCCGGAGCCCCGCCTGCCTGAGGACTGGGAATTGCGGCTCCCGCGGCTCAGCTAAACACCGCAATTACTCCAGGGAAATTACTTGCGCCCTCCTCCCGCGCTCTGCCCGCCGCGCGCTCCGCTCCTCCCCGCGCCCCTCGCAGTCCGAACCCGCATCTCGGGCGCGGGATCGAGCTTGGGGCACGCGGCGCCAAGGGGTCCCAGGTCTCAGGCGGAGCGCAGGGGTTGCGGTGGTGGGGTGGGGTTGACACACTCACTCGGATGACGTAGCGTGAGGAGTTCCTGTCGTCCAGGCTGACTGTGAGCGAGAAGAGCGCGGCCGCGCTGTACACGCCTTGCGCCTTGTACAACAGTCGGTTGAGGTCCCAGCGAGCCGCCCCCGGGCGATCGGCCGTGCCGCCCAGGTCCCAGCCGCCGCAGTCCTCGATGACCTCGAGCATGGGCCGCGGTCCGAGCCTCTCGATCTCGCGCATGTCGAGGCACGAGCGGAAGAAGGCGCGCACCTTGCGCTGCGCAGCGCCGCCGGGGCCTCCCGCGGGTCTCGCCAGCAGGCGCCGCAGACGCTCCTCGTTCTGCTCGCCGATGGCAGCGATCGTGCCGTAGGTGAGCTTGTCGTCGGGGATGGCGTGGCGCCGCAGCCAGCCCCCGCACGCAAACGAGTAGAAGTCCTGGCACGGGTCGATGCTGGCGTCCAGGTTGGCAGACAGGAAGCGGGCGGCGCGCGCAAAGGCCTTGCGCTCCGGGCAGCCCTCGGGACAGGCTCCACCACCTCCCGCCGCTCCCGGGCCCAGGTACTTGAGTGCCAGCATGGCCGCCAGGATGGCACAGAGGCCGGCGGCGAACACCAGCCCCGACAGCAGGCACACCTCGCGTCGGTTCCATCGCTGCAGCCCGGCCCGGGCCCCGCTAGCGCTGCGCCCTGCGCCCCTCGGGAAGCCTGGAGGCAGCGAGGTCCCTCGGGCGCCCCCGGTACCACAACGGCTTACATACTTGACTTCCTGAAACTCATCGTAGTGTGCTGTCATGGAATATGGGGCCTCCATGGTGCTGAGGCTGTGGCCACACACGCCTGGTTTGGTCGGCTATAGGCTGTTTCTATCTTCGGGCTTTCTGATGGGCGCCCACATGACCCTTGGTCACAGCTGTAGGAAGGGAACATTAGCAGGCTCAGAGAGGCCCTAGAAAGCGAGGGGGACCCAGGAACAAGGGATGGAGGTTAGTTTAAGAAGATGGAGGCCACCTGTGATCCACAACCAAAGCCTGCGCCTGACTTCACTTCACCACCCAAGGAAGAAGGAAAGAGGAGGGCTCAGTAGCCACAAGCTCGTACGGCAATAGGAGCCTTTTAACCTGTCTTCCCACGTCCCGGCATGGTCACCGCAGAGTTGGGATGCCCTGACACAAGGCAAAAGAGCACCGGATACAAAGTGGGGCTTCACTAGCAACCTGTTTCCCTTGCCTTTGCCTTTCTTGCCCATCATCTGATCCAATCGAGGCTCGGTGGGGGAGGGGGGAAGCAGAAGCCAGAGAAAGGAGGTGTGGTCAGGGGCGCCTCTATGCGGACCCTGAAACCTCCTGCTTTCTGCACTAAAAAGCTATCAGATACCCAAACTTTGTCCTCGGGGAGGTCTGCAGGACCACTCCCAAGCCAGCTTCTGACTGTTTCTCTTCAGTAGCCCCAAAGCCCACCAGCCTTTTTCCCAAGCAGCGGCACACTCCAGCCCCCACCCCACCCCCCCCCCCCCCCCCGACGGCCCTGACCAGAGGTTGGTTTCATCATTTGCCACCCATCGCAGCCCTGGGCCATTCCTGGCGTCAACAGGTTCTCCCCAGAACCCAAAGTTGGGCGAAGTTTCACCCCTTCTTCTAAGCCGGCCCTGAGCTCGGAGTCTCCTGCGTCGCGCGGTGCAGCCAACGGAGCTTAAGAGCCGAGACCTGGAGTCGCAGCCGCAGCCGCAGCTGGAACCCGAGCCGGGAGGACACAGACAAAGCCAAGGAGCTCGGCTCAGCGACCGCGGTGGCCCCAGAGGTGGCTGGGACGTGTGACCTCGGCGACAGTGGACCCAAATGACACTTACCCGGCAGGTGCGCGTCTGGGCCGGAC